TTTAAATTCTAGTCAAAGTTTATTTAATTTCATGTACTTTTCATAATCGTTTTTGCATTACTTTTAAGATTCTTAGTAGTGTAGAAATACTTGTCATTAAGAAAACTTTAAGAAAACTATGCACATAAGTCCTAGGATCAATCTCGTTGATCATGTAAGTAACCAAAGTATCATTTTTGGAAGACTAGTGCTTGTTTACCAAAATCCACGCGTAGATGGCAGACTAGGAGCATACAAAGCATTTTTATTCTTATAAGAACTATATATATGCGGTTTCTCCAACCAGTGTTATAAGTTGTAGATCAATAAGGATCATACAAACCCTATCATATACCAGAACATAATTCAGAGATGTGACTCTGGATCCGCCTTTTTTTTAAAAAGGTTTATTCTGATATGCACATTCGGATAGTCCCTTGTTTTGTTTTTTTAATAATTAAAAGGTGTGTCTGGAGATGCATCTCCGGGTCCTCCCAAAAATTATGCAACTTTGAACCAATGCATTATGCAATGTAGAATTTAAAACACAAAAATTACCACCCAATTTTGTAGCATTATGCAGTATTTTACATATAAAAAACATGTTACATTGTTAGATTACAACTAAAATGCGTCAAAACATATGTCTCTACCTAAATCTATTAGTGGTTCATTCTACGCCCTTTCCTTATTTTCCTATTTTCCAATGTCGCTCAACTTGGTGAACTCTTCCATCCTTTTTAGAAAGTGATTCGACCAAGTTTCAGCATCTTCTGTGAAATACGACGTCCACTCTGGTGATGTCTTTGGTATAGGACATCCCGGTTTCAAATAAACATGAACAAAATGTTATTTTTTTTATAGCTAACTAATACACATGATGTGTTCAGATGGGTTTTGAGGTGGCTTACTCCAAAGTGGAAAGAATATTTACGGAAAAAACTATATCGTGTTAAATCAATACACACTATATCATAATAGTTGTTATAAGGTGTCACACTTCTGTGAAGCGCGTCTATTTTTCAAACGAAATCGAACCAGTAAGACAAGAAAATAGAGCATGGAGAATTACATCGGAATTTTCTTTGTTCCCATGTAGCTTTGTGTATGATTCCTTGTGTGTGTTCATCTCTTGTATAATATGACGACTGACAAATTGGTAGTCATCATCTCCCTTATCGAGCAAACCTGAAACATCTCAAAAACCATAGTTATCATCACTTTCAACATTTACAATCCGCTCAATTTATTTGTGCATAAAAAGTGACGTCTCTTCAATGTGTTCTATTATTGGTAACAGCGGCTGAAGAGATAGTTTGCTAATGCGAGCACCCTTGAAAATACTTTTTGGGATTTTGGAGTTGGAGAATCCATAAAATGTGAGTTAACATGTTCAAAGTATGAAAGATATGGTCTTGTGGAGTTATCACTTTGTGTCAGTTTGACCTTTTTTAGGGGCACCCTTTGTCTTAACTAGTTCCGACAATGGTTTCAAATATGTTGTTTCTGGATAGACAATCTTCCTCAATTTCTCTTTGATGTAAAATTTAATGATATCATCAGCTTTCATGAATCTCTCTTGGATCACTTCCCACTCGGCCATAATATATATGTTTGATTTATCATCCTTTACCACACCATCATCGTCAAAATGTAGTCTTTTTCAGTGAGTGCAAATTTCATCCATACGTATTGGTTTTTCAAGTATCATTTTCTTTGAAATTAAACAAGCACATAGAAGATTGCACGTATTCCTAAGTGTACATCCACACTTTGAGCTATCAGAACCTATTTTATCTGCTTGCTTGACTTCTTAAAAAATAAAATTCAATACCGCCTGAGATATGTAGCCAACTAACTGTGAGCTTTGAATCGGTGTTCTAACACAATAATGCTCTGACAAAAAGATGTTTATATCTCATTATGTTGGTTTCAGAGCATTTGGTTAACAACGTCTCAATCTCTACAAAAACCACTTTACTGTTTCCCAACCAATTCAGTCTAGCATGTGCATATTCAACTTTGTTAGTTGTAGTATTGCGAAAGTGTCGAACCTGATCGATCCATGCAGAAACAAGCTTCTCGTTAACCTTATCCAAAATAGTGCCCTCGACATATTTCAACAAATCTAGATATATCGCACACACACTCTTAAAATGTAGAACATATTCGACATATAATTCTTCCATGAAAGAATTTATTATAGAATTTTATGCATCCATTATATTTTCCACGACCACACTAGGTTTGGAAATTTTTCCATCTTCACTGACGACTTGTTTTGTGCCAACCGCAGGTTTTAATCGACTTCTCACATTTTTGGTTATGTTATACTTATAAAGTAATACGAATGATGTAGGAAATACTATTGCAACCGAATTCATCAATACGGTGTTGCAATCGGTGATTATGAATTATGACATATTTTCTTTATCATTCAACATAGTCTTGAACTTTTCAAAATCCTATGTAATATTGTCCTCTTTTTCGAATTCCAAAAATACAAAACCGCCTGAAAAAGTCATCTCAATAGAAGTAACACCAACAATTTCCAAGAGTGAAAATCTATACTTCTTTTTTTATATGTTGAATCAATTATGAGCACGGTGGAAAATGTGTTGAATAACTTGATGAAATCGGGATGACTCCAAAATATATCTCGAACTGTGACTTTATCCTCACAAATCATGCACCTAGAAACATAGTCGTCATTCTCAAAAAGCTTTCACAGTTATTGTATCTCAAATCTTGGTCCTCTTACCGTCTTGTTGTATCGAGCAGGCACATTGTATATTTGTTTGATATTTGAAACATCTAGAGGTTTTTTCCGTTTTAAAGACGTGAATATGTTTTTCGGCGCTACCATGTTTAATACTATGTCAGAAACAAGTTCTCTCTCATTCGGAACAAGGCGACATACAATGAGATGACCGAATAGCTTGTCAATAAAGGTATGACTTTGTATACCAGAACTCGCATTAAATTTTCATGTCTCATCTACCATATGGTATTCGTGCAATTTAAACGAACACTCTCTTTTCAACTTTCTAATTAGTGGTTGATATGTATCAATTCTTTCACGTCTCATTATTACAAATGATTGTCTTCTATCCGAATCATTGTCGGGTCTTCCGATTACAACACCAAGCCTCAATTTCCCGGCCTCCATGTAGACCCATTCTAGCATATATCATGGACAATAAACTCTTCTTTGTTTATAATTTGTGCTTGAACATCTACCTCGATAACAACTGATCAAGCACCTAGTTTAATATCATCATTCACTTCATCCAGTTTAACATCACCATATACTTCATCTGGTTTAACATCATACTTCACTTCAACCAGTTTAACATTCGCACACACAATAACTTTGAAAAACATATTTGATTGCATTATATCTAATACCACCAATAAAAAAATAGAATGAAAACTCAAACTACCATGACAATCTGGATATGCATATCCGAAACACCAAATTTCGTCTAGAGATGCATATCGTGATTCAACATTCATTTTTCAGCTCAAAAATCATATTAAAACAAGGAATGAAGGATGTGGTGAATGAACTTTACCTGTAATTTCAGCTTATTTTGCTCTGTTTGAAGTGATGAAATACAATAATGATGTTTTGGTGTTGAGATGATGATTGAGAATGGAGAAAACTTTTTTTAAGAGTTTTTAGTATTAAGTATAGTTTCAAGTTTGAAGAAGAAGATCATACAAAGCGGTGTTTTATCCAATTTTCTGTTGGATATTTCCAGAAATGCATCTTCGAAAATATCACCAAATCGTTTATTAAATCAACTAAGTGAAATAAAACACGATAGATAAGTACATGAAATGTTCGAAAATACACCTCCGAACACACTCAAATAACATACAGAAATACATGTTCAAACTATATTTTTTTTAAAATAAAGTAGATCTCAGAAAAACGAAATTTAGTATGCTTTGAATGGTTCGCTCCGAGGTTTAGTATGATTTTGGATGTGTTCGCTCCGGACTTATGAAGAGCACGCACACATAAGAATAGAAAGAGCATTCCATTATTTTAAGGAAATTTTTTACTCACCGCTACACGCACTTGAAAACTATATTACGAGAAAAGGTACAGTTTTATTTTGCCTTTGAGTTTAAATCATCTGTCCAAATATTAGTGTTAAGCTCAAATAAAATAAAATAAGTCAGTTTTATATCTAGTGATAAAATAGGAAGGCATGCAACAGTTTTTTAATTGGAAGGTTTGAGAACCATAAAGGGAGAGAAAGGAATGCAAGAGATGAACGGAAATTTACAGGATGAGACGGAAAATTAAAGGGACAAAACAGACAACGTGACTAAAATGAGAAATCGAAGAGATCAAGGATTTGGGAATTTAATCAACAAACGTTTGGACATTTTTGGACATTGTTGATTATTTTTGAACAAGGAGTGACAAATTTCTAATGGTTCGGTGTCCTTATATGTTATGCTTGAACTTTACTTTTAAAAGATAGTGAAAGAGCTCCTGGCTGTCATATGCACCTATAACTGTTATGTAATGTAATTATGCTGGTTATTATTAGAAGATAGATTTCTGCACTTCACATTCTTGAACGCTTTCTAATTGCCTAACAGAATAAACAATGTCATCATAAAACCTACAGACACAAACTGAAGTTAAAAAAAGAACTGTTCGAACGTGTCTTAAGTTAAAGATTCACAATCATTCAAAGAGTGAAAGTTTTTTTTTCCGAGAAATCTCTACATAAATATTGCACTCAGTGTTCAGTTCGTGTTATCTCAAAACAAAAAGAAACACAATATGTAAATGAAAATTGCAATAACAAAAACATAATCCTTAACAATAAACATAACGTAATAAGTCTAAATAGCTCAATCTTAACAGTACAACATAACGTGATAGCCTAAATAGCTCCAAAATCCAGCTGAAGTTAAACAGAATAAACGGCAACCGCATCAAATAAAATATAACTTGAAAATATAAATCACATAGTTAGGAAGAAAAAAAGTTACACTTAGTCGACTTCCTCAATCTTGGGGCCAGCACCACTTCCACCAGTAGGAGCATCATCATCATCTGCAGCAGCACCCATGTCAGGACCGGCACCACCCTGGTACATCTTGGCAATGATAGGGTTGCAGACACTTTCCAATTCCTTCATTTTGTCCTCAAACTCATCTGCCTCTGCAAGTTGGTTGCTGTCTAACCACTGGATAGCCTGCTCAATGGTGTCCTCAATCTTCTTCTTGTCTTCAGAATCAAGTTTGCCTGCAATCTTGTCATCCTTGATGGTGTTCCTCATGTTGTATGCATAGTTTTCCAACGCATTCTTGGCCTCAACCTTCTTCTTATGCTCTTCATCCTCAGACTTGTACTTCTCAGCCTCTTGAACCATCTTCTCAATATCATCCTTTGAAAGCCTACCCTTATCATTGGTGATGGTGATCTTGTTCTTCTGTCCAGTAGTCTTGTCTTCAGCAGAGACATTCAATATACCATTGGCATCAATGTCAAAGCAGACGGTAATTTGCGGAACACCCCTGGGAGCAGGAGGAATGCCAGAAAGTTCAAACTTGCCCAACAAATTGTTATCTCTAGTCCTTGTTCTCTCTCCTTCAAAGACCTGGATCAACACACCAGGCTGGTTGTCGGAGTAGGTCGAGAAAACTTGCTCTTTCTTTGTTGGAATGGTGGTATTCCTTGGGATAAGGACAGTCATCACACCACCGGCAGTCTCCAAACCAAGAGATAGAGGAGTAACATCAAGGAGAAGAAGATCCTGAACCTTCTCATTGCCCTCGCCACTCAAGATTGCAGCCTGAACAGCAGCTCCATATGCAACAGCCTCATCGGGATTAATGCTTTTGCATAGCTCCTTTCCATTAAAGAAGTCCTGCAAAAGTTGTTGAACCTTTGGAATTCTGGTAGAACCACCTACAAGAACAACATCATGGATACTCTTTTTGTCCATCTTGGCGTCTCTCAAACATTTCTCAACTGGTTCCATACATTTCCTAAAAAGATCCATGTTGAGCTCCTCAAATCTGGCACGAGTAATGGGGGAATAGAAATCAATTCCCTCATATAGAGAATCAATCTCAATGGTTGTCTGGGCAGTGGAAGAAAGAGTTCTCTTCGCCCTCTCACAAGCAGTTCTCAATCTCCTGAGTGCTCTAGGGTTGCCACTGATATCCTTCTTGTTCTTCCTCTTGAACTCTTGAACAAAGTGATTCACCATTCTGTTGTCAAAATCCTCACCTCCAAGATGGGTGTCTCCAGCTGTAGCTTTGACCTCAAAGATACCCTCTTCAATAGTAAGCAAAGAGACATCAAAAGTACCACCACCAAGGTCAAAAATCAAGACATTCTTTTCACCAACACTAGTTGCTTTCTTGTCTAACCCGTAAGCAATGGCAGCAGCTGTGGGCTCATTGATGATTCGCATGACATTAAGACCAGCAATCACTCCAGCATCCTTGGTAGCTTGACGCTGAGAATCATTAAAGTAAGCAGGGACAGTAACAACAGCATTCTTAATTGCAGAGCCAAGGTAAGCTTCAGCAATCTCCCGCATCTTCATCAGAACCATTGAAGAGATCTCTTCAGCAGCAAATTGCTTATCTTCACCCTTGTAGTTAACAACAATCATTGGCTTTTCAGCAGGACCAGCAATAATTTTAAATGGCCATAACTTCATATCACTCTGAACAGATGCATCACTAACTCTACGTCCAATCAACCTCTTAGCATCTGCAAATGAGAAAATAGTCTTAAAATCACACACTCAATATTTCATCTATTAAGAGATAAACCTAGCAAGCATGTATATGAAAGTGAAGCAATAAGTACATTTGACAAATTCTAAATCGGGATTTAACTAAAAAGTAACTAATTAACAAATTAACAATTAAAAAAACCGATAAACAAGTAAATATACGAAAAATAACGTATAGATCTAGAAAATAGAAAAGTTAACTGAGCAAAATAGAAAGGCCTAGAATAACTAACCAAAAACGGTGTTGATAGGGTTCATGGCGACTTGATTCTTAGCGGCATCACCGATTAGACGCTCGGAGTCGGTGAAAGCAACGTACGACGGCGTGGTTCTGTTTCCTTGGTCATTGGCGATGATTTCAACTCTGTCATGTTGCCACACACCGACGCAAGAGTATGTGGTTCCGAGATCGATTCCGATGGCTGGTCCCTCTCCCTTTCCGGCCATTGACTTCACTCTTTTGGTTCGTTACGCAAAAGAGAGAGATCTGAGAGGAAGAGGATGAAATCACAGTGAAACTGCGACTAGAATTGAAAAGAGGTTGTTAGTACTGGATGAGTTAGCTTATATAGTTAGGGTTTCAAATTTGTTCTAGAATATTCTGTTAGTCTATAATGTGGGAACCTTGGATTTGATTGGGCATAATTTACGCGTTTGTAGATCTAATTTCCTGGATCTTGGGCTTGTAGTGGGCCTAATTATCTGAGAACCAATGAGTTTCCGACTCATATTTATTGAGAATTACTAATTCTGTTTGGAAAAACATTATACTCCCTCCATAAAAGCAACTTTTGCTTTTTAAATTCAGGAATGATTAATGTATATTTATTACGGAGGGAGTATAAAAATATAAAAGATATCTCTTAGATTTCGAAAATGTATATTTAGATGTATCTTTTGACTAATTCAAAAACGCTTCAAATGAATGTTAATCTATGTGTTTTTACAATTTTATTTTAGAAATGTATATCCGGTCAAATTCTATCAATTTATTATTTACCACCCAATTGTTTATGCGAAAGTGTATTTCCAAATATTTGAAGCGGTATGTTGAAAATTTGCCAATTTGCATGTCATTCATTTTCAAAGATGCATTTTCGAAAAATATCAAATGTGATTGACTTTTCTAGAAGTGTACTTTCAAGGTTTTCAAGCGGAATTTGAAAACCTGCTACCTTTGCATGTCAGTCATTTCCAAATATGCATTTTCGAAAATATCAAACGTGTTTTTTAATTAAACAGCATCCTGCATGATCAGACTTCATACCCAATTTTAGCATAAACCCTTTCACCATTCTCAATCAATATTTTCGCTCCAAAACTTCATTAATGTGTTTCATCACATCAAAAGGAACAAAAGAAGCTTGAATTCAAGGTAAATACATTTCTGGATTCTATATGAATTCCTCCGTAAATGCATTTTTGGAGTCTGTCTGTTTTCATTTATCGCCTATCTATTTTCAATTTTAACACTAGGATGTTGCGGCCAAACATACTTGCAACAATAGTAAGGGTGATTTGTGTAGATACTGAGACTCCATGGACCAAATGATCCAAAATCAGCATAATGAGATATAAACGTCATTTGGTCGCAACATCATAGTGTTGGAACACAGATTCAAAGACAATAAACTTTATTCTCAGTTGGTCGATAAAATATCTCGAGCAAGGCTGGATACGAATGGATGAAGTCTGCATTCACTGGAAAAGGCTCAAGTTTGATGATGATGGTGTCATGAAATATGGTAAATCGAATATTTCTATCTTGACTGAATGGGAAGTGATACAAGAGAGATTTTTGAAAGTCAGTGACAATATGAAGCTCCACATCAAAGAGCAAAACACCTCTTTCACCGTCTCCACTAAAAATTCCATCCATTGACGAGACGTTGGTTTTTATGCATGAATAGATTGAATGGATCGTCAATGTTAAGGGTGACGGTAATTGTTGTTTCTGCTTTGCTCGGTAAAGGAGAAAAGGATCACACACTTGTCTGCCATCAACTTATCCAAGAGTTGAGCGGCCATAAAGAATCATACACATTGCTATACGTGAAAAGGAAATTTTTTATGCAATTTATGAGTCTCTTGTACCTTGCATTAGTGGACCGGCACCAGAGGACAAATTGACGTGCTTCTCTGAAATGGGTCATCTCATGTCAAATGTGTATGAATAATTTGTATTGATATTACAAGATACATTTTTTCATAAACATTTTTCCATTGCATAGTGCCCTACCTCAAAATCCAAATGATCGTATTATGTGTGTTGGGTGAATTTCAAACTAGTGGCATTTTGTTCAAGTTTATTAGAAATCGGGATGCTCGATACCCCTAACATCACCGGAGTGGACAGTTTATTCAACAACAAAAGTGGAGACTTGACCAGATCATTTTATAGAAAGGATGCAAGAGTTCACCAAATTGAGTGAGATTGAAAGAGAATCAAATAAACAAATGTCAAGGCGGTACCACCCGTATACATAGATTTAGCCGATGACACGTGTTTCGGTTCATTTTAGTTTTTATTCAACAATATATTGTATATAATCTTGTATTAATATTAATGATGTCTAATACAAACATTTTTAAATATTTAAATACATGTTTAAGTTTTCAAAAAAAATTATGCATTTTAATATAGTTTCTATTTTTTTCTATTCCAAACTTTTATTTTGTTCCTAGTGGTTCTGGAAATACATCTCTGAAATAACAAAATAAGGTGGTACCATGGATGCATTTCTGGAACGTCCCTGGTAGAAGATATAATTTCTAAGGTCCGTATTTATCTAGAACTACTATAAGTATCAGGCTCTTATATCATATTTCTTACCAAATCACATTACACCAGAGTGAACATCAATTGGCATGTCGCAAATGTCAACTTTAACGACAGGAAACCCTTAATTGAATTTATGATCAATGAGTACACACCTTTTCATATCTGAAATACATATTGTAGAATCTCCTACAATACTTTGATGATCGAAAAATTATAAAGCTCAAGTACTGTTCACTGCCGATTGACAATGAATGAAAGATTGAGTTCAACAACTTTGAGCTGAAGATGGATGAAAATTTAAGGGTTATGGAATACTTTTTCGTTACAAAACAAAAGTTATGATCGAGGTGGATGCGACGATTTTGATATTGATCGAAGATATTATGAAAATGTTGGAACATTCACCCGGATATTGAAATGTAATTTTTTTATTTAAGTTAATGATTACATGTGTGATGTTTTGTTTTTTATGTTATCAATGTCAATTTTATTTTTCATTTTGCATTGCATCATTCAGGTTTTGTGATTATTTATGTTTATGTAATGTTTATGGAGTTACATTGTTGGAAGCAAAATAGACAAAAAACCTGGGTGTGACTCAAAGTCAGCATAGGTTGTGTGTGTTTAGGGTGCGTCCAAAGAATCATCCCCATTATCAAAGGATATTTTGGGTTTTTCATGAGTGTGTGACTTAAGTAATTCCATATTTATTAGTTGTAATAGGTCTGCGAATCTAAACCCTTGAGTATTTATCTTTGTTTTTATTCTTATCTTTAATATTATATTATAATTTTTTTGAAAGAATCTTATATTTATATATAGAAAATTGAATATTATTCAAAGTGCATATATGTATTTTTGTGAAAGACAATTGGATTAGACCACAAATTTTTTATTAAACATTCAAAATCAAACAAAATTGACTCAAATATAAGAAAAAAATTGTTTCGCAACACATAAGTTGTGACTATTTTGTTGAAAGCACTCTCCTCATGTATTGTGATGGTTTGCACGATGGTTTTGTCTAACCACCTCTTGATTTTCAAAAAATAAAATAAAGATAATTTGCGACGATTTGCTTTCCAAGTGCCCTAAAATTTTATTTATGAATGTTATAAAAATCATGGCTCCTCTTTGAACCGTGCGAGCAGTGATACTTATTTTCAATACAAGTAGAGAAAAAGTGGGGGGAAAGAGTTTTCATTTTCACAAGATTGGTTTAGTATGAGAAATGGTTAGCTCTTGGAAGTTGAAATGGTTATCCGTCAAGCCATCTATAAATGACACATCTTAAACTTTATTATAACTAGTATCTATTGGTTACAAAGGCAGAGCTTGTGAAATTACAAGGCATATTGGTATATATGTGTGTTGTACCCCAAAATTTGCCCTCTCATTTTATCAACATTTCTCATCACAAGACTCTTGGAACTCAAGACCAAGCTAGGGTTTGCTCTGCTCAAGACACCTCCTTGCACTGTTGACCTAAATTAGGGTTTGAGTTTGCACAAGGATTTTTGGACCTTCAATGCCCAAATTGACTTTCATACTTCATGTTGGACTCATAAGTTTTCCCATACCAAGTTTCAAGCCTTGAATCAAATTTTTGCCCAATCAATGGGACAGTTGACCTATAAATCAGCTGTATTGGGGGAAAAGTCAATTGTGGCCAATTTACAGTCAAACCTCATGAATTTTGACCCACATCAACATTATGAACTCATATGAACCATTTGACCAAGTTTTGACCATAATTCCACAAGGAACTTGATCAGATCACCAAAAGGGCAAAATGGTCATTTTTAAGGTTTTAACTGTACAAAGGCAATTTTTGACTGTTTGACCTAGCCAGTGGAAAATCAAGTTCAACCATGGGCTCAAGGACTAAATGACATTATCTTGACCTATTCAACAAGTTCAAAAGATCTCAAATGCATTGGATTGACAGATGATTTTTTCAGTCAACTGATCAAATTTTGATTGTACACTGAAAAGTCAAACTTTGACTTTTTGGTCAAAATCAAGTGCCAAGGGTCATTTTTCATCAAGATGTGTCAAATTATGAAACTTGTTCATCAAGAAACCCAAAATTGCAAATTAGGGTTTGAAATTGAAAATTTTCATAACTTAGAAATTTTCTAAGTTATGAAATTTTCTTAATTTTTCCTAACTTTGTCCCATATTTTCACTAAGATGTAAATGGATTCAAACAAAACTTACAACATAAAAGTTGTAGTCCTCCACAAATTCTACAACTTTTATTCACAAAGTTTTCTCAAAATAATCTTGGATCCCAAGTTATGATTTTTGGAACAAGGGTCCCTAAAACTTTTAACTTAGAGAAATTTTGCCCTAGTTTAGGCAGGATTTTGACCCATCTTCTTGACCATTTTTCACATAGTTCCACTTGGATTCTCAAGTTGCATTTCAAATATGGATTATAGTACTTGTTTCAAACTTTCCAAATTGTCCAAGAACTCCTCAAACACATTTGTGGTTAGGGAGAATCGAATACTTGAAGTTGGCAAAAACTCACTTTGTAACCATGGCCAATACATGTTCATACAAGTTGCAAAATCTGACCAAACTAGATTTGTACTTGATTACAGGTCTATAAACCAATTTACACTCAAAAATTAAATGCAAATACATTGGACATTGGTGT